GCAGGTTATTTCACTTATAACAAGACATTTTTGCTACATTATAAGTGAAATAATCTGGGGAAAAATAGTGGATTTGGGTCACATTCGCCTGCTGTGAACTTGGCTTAAGTCGCACCTGCGATCAAACCAGTCTCACTTTAGAGACTTGACCTAAATATTAGTTACACATATATTAGCTAAACATTCTAGAACACCTTAACCCAACATAGGAAAGCAATGTGAGCCTCCACTTTAAGAGCAATGATCAACTTTAACTTGATTTTTTATGCCAGATTCAAAAGGATTTTTCACATGTATAAACCCACACTAAAAATCTTGAGATGTAAGAAAGATTATAGTAAAATCATAAGCTGTAAGAAGAGTACAATTGTTACTCTCAATTAAAAGAAAATTGGTTAGAAGCAACCAAGAAACAACCCGATAAACAGGAAAGTGATAGAAAACCAACCCAGAGACAATCCACTGTTACATGAGCAAATGATTAAAAGAAAGAAGCCCCTGGTTCAAAATAAACAAAATCAACTCGTACATGGAGAAGCAAAATACTTTCTGGAGAAAAGTTTCTTTGGCCAGTTGTGTCAAAACATTTATTCTTCTTGGCCATAAAACCAGATTTGTGCCAAGAATTCAACCAAATTAAATGGACCTGTCAAACTATAACACATTTCAATCTAGAATTATGGCTTAATGACTGGCAAAAAAAAATGAAAATGTGGTTGAGAGAAGTTTCATCTTCAATGAGTGAGGGTGTATGTAAATATTTGAGCCAAGATGGCTGATTCTGACCCTGCGTAGAGAGTCAGTAATACACTGAATCATTTGCACAGAATTTCAGTTTGTTCCAAGTTAGTTGAAGTTGCATAAAACTAAAACACATACGTGATGCTGTATATTCTAAAATATGCTCTGACCAGTAGGATAAGTCACTAAAAAAAATGATTCCCTTATTCATCTGTAGCTCTGAACAGAATTTCATCACACACAACCTTAATTTATTACTGCCTCACTGATGCAAGTATAAGCTGATCCCTCCAAGGTATCTTTTTTTTTTTTAGTAATGGCCTCTTGTTTTCTCAGAGTCTGGAATAATAATGAGTTTGTAAACAAACACAAAGCCATAAAATAGACTGACACTTTCAATGTTGTCCCAAGTAAGTGGAAGCTGCAGGATTAAATATTCATATGAGTTTCTACAGAGACGAATCAGGAGGCATCAAGTTTCTCATGCTGCATAATTGGCTGATCCCAGACAGAGATGTCAGAGAATCTTTCTTTTAAATCCACCCTGAGGCACAAACACGTCTGACTGAGAAAGCAGTCATGCCTTTTACTCATCAAATACTTTGCTTCAAAAAAGTTATTAGTTTTTCCCCCCCTTATTTTTTTTTTAAATTTTAAACACTTTCATTGATTTGAGTAATGTTATTTTTTTATCAGCAGCAGGTCTCCTCTACAAAAAAAGCCATACTTTAAAATGTTAAAATGATAATGAAACATATGCATGATCAACTGTCCTGCTTTAGGCCTGGCAAAATAAGTGATACTGTTTAAACTAATACACTCTGTGTGAAATTTATGGTCCTTTTGTCACTGACCTTTGCATTCAGCTAAGGGTTTAAGAACAACGGGGGCTCGTCCGGGATTCATCTTTATTTTTGATGAATAGATGACTGGATGTGCATTATTATGACTAATGTTCTCAATGCTTAGGTAGAGCTGGTCATTCTTCAAGAGCTAAGTTATTTATTAGTATGTAGCAGATGGACCGGTAGATAAAGATAGATATGTGGTAGATATGGTGTCAAACCTTCCACAGGACTTGAAGCAGCCAGCTCTAAATACGTCTCAGAAGAAAAAAAGATGCTCTAAATTTCTAAATTTACCATGCACTTGGCACCTTCATATATCTGAGCATAATACTGGATTTCCTTTAGGAAAAAAAAAAAATCACAGCATGCACTGCTGCATTGCTCATGTTCAACCCATGTGTGAAGAAGGCACCCTGTGTCCTTGTCCATAATTTATGTGAGACCTCAGACCTACACTTACGTATTCATATCACCCTAATCAACCTTCAGTCTTAGATATTTTTAGGTACATAGTTATGAAAAGTCTACATCAGAATATGGTTTATAAGCAAAATTGTAGCAGGCCAGCAATACCAAGGAACACGTGTTATACCTATTTTTAAGATCTTTAAATTATTTAGTAGACAGATTTGATTTTAAAATGGCTCTAATATAAGAGTAGACACAGCCTCCCAGAGCAGCTTCTGTCAGAAGCAATAAGAATTAATAGACCTAAAACACAACACTGATTGACCAGTTCAATAGAATATCTTTTTTAAAGTAATTTTCAAATTTTTTTTTTACTTTTTTGGTCTAATTATTAACATTTTTTATCCAAGCTATTTTGCAAGCACAGTAATCATAATTATTTTTATTGAATATCAGAAAAATGCTTAATGATCTCCAGATGGGGAAATAATATTAGTTAAGCACAGATCAAAGAGATTGAGCAATAAAATTAGTTTAAAAACAACATTTTACCAGATTTTTTGTAATCTATTAATTATCTTCAAACATTTCATGTTCTGCTCTAGTCTGTTATCGTTATGTTCTTTCAAACATTTTCAAATATCATTTTATGTATTTTTTGTCGTTTTAATTATGTTTTTATATTCATGGTTTGTCTTTGTGACTCACATTTCTATAAGAATAATTATCCACTTGATTAACTTACAATGTGCCTTTAATCAGAACTTAATTGAAAATGTTCTCCAAGAAAAAACAAAATTCTTTCATTTCTAATACTACATACAAACTAATACTGGACATAGAATTACCTTGAACACAGTATTCCCACAGTGAAGCCTGGTGTTGGCAGCATCATTAAGTGTGGATGCTTTTCATGGACAGGAAAATAAAACATCATGACCCCTGATCAACATTGCGATGGGATGAAATGACCAGCAAGTACATGGACAACAAAGCCCTTAAAAGGACTTAAAAGATGAAGAGATTCATTGAAACTCTTAGAAGGGATGAAAAAACCTTTTTAATAGTTGCTGTGATCAGACTCAAACGTTCCAACAGCAGCATTTTAAATTCTACACTTTAAAGAGAACTGGAACGATCCAAACCATGGAACTGGAACGAGACAAACCATTGTCTCGTCTTGGCAAGACGAGACAAATTAGAAAGAAAAATGTTGTAAACTTTAGACAAGCTACAGAAAACTATAGTTCAATTCCTAGAAGGTGAATTAGGATTTACAGGATCTCTGTCAGAGTAAGACTTACACAGCATTGACAGCTTTAAAAGCATCCGATTGGGGAAAAATATTTTTTACACTGGGTTAATGATTCAAATGTATCCATAATGGAGTTGGTGACTCTTTTGGCAACACTGATAAAGACATCCTAACGGACTGAAGCAAATTAATGGGCTTGAAATCAACAATTCCCAATAACTCAATGCACAGCTCATTCTGCAGAGCTCCTTAAACAACACTGGCTGTAAATCCCTGCATCCAGCTGGTACACATCACAAAGAACAGCATCATAAAATAACATGTTAGTAGAGATGTACAGATAAGTCAGATGGTGACCGAAATCGGATTATTTCCAGCTTAAGGCCTGATTGGTGACAGGCCGGTCAGAAACGAAAAAGAGGTCTGGTGTTTTTAACAGCAGGTTATGTCTGTATGTGTGGAAGTTGTTACTGACTAAAGAAGTCTCAGAGTTAGCCATTTTCTATGGCGAGTTTTTAGCGCCATGTAACACCCACCAATCAGTCGCTGTTTCCATTCAGAAGCCGGTTATCTGATCTGGTTAATGATGTTCCGGTTTTAGTGCTGAATAATCTAGACCATGTTTAAAGAGTCTGACCATTGAAGTTTTTAAACTAGAGCTAAGTAAAGACGTGGTAGGTAGTGGAAAATTAGGTGGAATCATCCTTTAGGGATCTAGTAGTGCCAATTGGAAGCCAACTTCAGCTCTGTGCAACTCAGTACGTTTATGCTTGGTGTCACGTTGGATTACAGTAAACTACATCAAAAGAACATGTCAATCCACATAATGCACAAACACTGTACGCCAATCATTTATCTTGATTAAGTTTCCTTTGAAGAAAAATAGTAGGAGTAGTGGGTGACCAACCTAGGAAAGCGAGTCTGGGTGAGCAATCATCATCATTTTGACACGGAAACCATAATCTCAGAGTTAAGACAGGAGCTAATATATGCAATTTATAATCCAATAATGTAAAAGACTGTTTAAAATGTCCACTTTGTAATTATGTTGTCCACTTTAAAAAGCATTTATTAAGCAATCTAAAATTATGCTCTTGCTTAGCATTTCTCACAGGTCTAAACTTTACAAAATGCTCCAACCTGCTGGCGCCAGAGATCTGGCAGGCCGTAGCAAAGCTATGGCCGGTGAACTCTGAGTCAACAGCCTGTCGGCCTGTTTTACCATGATCCAGCAGTGTTTCTACCTTACCATTTGCACACACGATTTGTTGATTTTGCAGATTGCTTTTCTTTTTTTTTTTTTGCTAAAGCAGGGCAGCCCCGGGTGACGAATCCAAATGCTGCCAGCGACCGAGGAAAGGACGGCGATCTCAAAAAACAAACACCCGCAATAAATCAAAAGTGATTTGAGACGACGATCACAGATGGTGAGACCAAAGAGGGCTTGTACAATTTCTGTGAGTCCTCCGTGATTCACACATTCTCCAAGCTGCTGTCTACACTTCTCCAAAATAGCCTGGAGCCAATTATAAATGCAGATAAAAACATGGCTGGAGACGCTGGTGGCTTGGCTGCTAATTGACAGGTGAAGAAACGGCCACAGAACATTTGCCTGTTTTTTTTGTTTGTTTTTTTCATTTTTCCACACACACCACAATACATTTTGACTTAGTCCAACTTGTTGAGACCGGAGTCTTGGTGGTTAATCACTGCTGATAACTTCACAGACGTATTTGTGAGGGACTTACCCCACTGCAGAGGAGCGAGTTGCAGGTGCTCCAGGACCAGCTGGTTCAGGGCTCCCTCCACGCTGGCCTCTCCATGCCGCTGCAGAGATGGGTGGCTAGTGTTAAGGACAGCAGCATGACTTGTTAGTAATTACCAAATTACTAACAACAAGTAAAGCTCTACAATTATTGGAATTTTTTAAACAACACTTTATGTTAGAATAGGGAAATTGTGACAAATCTACAAAACTTAGTTTATGTTCATGTTGCACATTCTGAGCCTGAGAAGATTAATTTAATGCTGAAAAGTTATCATAGGTAAACAACAGTGTCTTGAAAAAGTATTACCACCTCTAGAACTTTTTCACCAACTTGTTCAGCCCAAATCTAAATGTATTTTAATGAGATTTTATGTAAGCCACAACAAAATTGTGTTGTGGAAGGGAAAGGGCATAAAGTTTTCAAATAATTGTTTGGGTGTACCAGCAGCAAGTTAAGAATGAGAGAATGGGGTTGAATACAGATGTGCACCCAAATTCCCAAAGGTAAGACAATGAAATATATTTATGTTTTATTCCACTGTATTCTAGTCTGACAGCCCAAATACAATCCAGTAGCTCCAAATGCCCTTGGAAGTCACTTAATTAGTGAAAAAGAACGGTTCTGTGAAAGCCGGAGAGGTTTATTTGGGAATATCGCAGAACAAACGGCATCATGAAGACCAAGGAACGCAGCTGACAAGTCAGAGTTATGGAAAAGTTTAAAGCAGAGGTAGTGCAGACAACAAAATCCCAAACTCAAGCATGTCTTTAATCCAAGGTATGGAACAACCACAAATCTATGAAGAGTTCTCTATTCAAGTATACTGATAGGCTGGGCACTGATTACAGGTGAAGCAACAACGAGCCCCTTGGTAACTCTGGAGGGGCCACTGAGATCCACAGCTGAGGGAGGATCATCTGTTGACAGGACTACTTGTCCTCTAAAGCCCCTCTCCATTGCAAACTCACTCTTACGGTTAATGGTTCGGTTCCAGACAGGTTGGGTGTGTCTGCATTGGCAGCTGTTCCCTGACTTTATGGGTAGGACTGTGAGCGTGCAGGGGATCTGATCGAAAGCCTGATGGTGTCATTTTGCTCAGATAAACTTGCCTTCACTCATCCAGTGACAGGCCAATCAAAACATGTATTCTGCTACATAAATTAATTGAGCACAATACCTGGCGTGAGCCTGAGGTGGCTTCAAAGGTTAATGAAGACAAACCGGGTTGGGGATGAAGAACAGGTTACTAGCGAAGGGGCTTTCAGTGTTTAGAATTAGAACCTTATGGACGACTGTGAAGAAGTCAGCTACTGTTGAAAGAAAGCTTTAAAAAGTCCTGTGTGAAAATTACCAGAAACTGTGTGCGCTGCAAACAACCATCCCACACTGCAAAGAGAGAAGTGCTACGCTGAACCGGAGGCTGATAATGTTAATTTAATATTTGGAAATGTGACCGACACGAACTGAACAGCTTCAGTCACTTCCTTTGGTGTCATCGCTAAAACTACAAGCTGAATATGAAACAGTGCGGAAATCAACATCATCGTTCACAACTCATCCTGCTGTTTGCTGATTGGCCCGGTTGAAATTCTACCAGAGAAACCCAAGTCAATGGGAGAAATCCCAGATGGAGCCCTAAACGGAGATGACAATTGAGCAACATTGCATAGGAAAGTAATCGCCTCAGTATTTGTGATGTGACAGAATGTGTGAACAATTTCAAGGGGAATGAAAACTTTTGCAAGAGACCTTAAGAAACATAGCCACCTAATAGGAAGCACCATCATAAAGTTTATAGTCACATCTATATACAACATTTTTAGTAATGCTTTGCCTGCTTTATGTGATAAAGTCTTCAGATGCTTTATTGGTATTCAAACTTTGAAATACAGTTCTTTGCCAGGATTGGGTCACTTTAGCAGCATGTTTCAGTTTGTAGCCCATCTTTTCTTTGTCACCTTAATAGACGAGTAATCCAGGTTCACTCAGAGCAGTGAGTGAGTAATACAAGAATATGGCATAAGATCAGGAGAGAAAAACTGAGGGTCCTATGAATCTGAAGAGCCGAGAACAAATTCCTGATGCATAACACAAGTACTGACTTCTCATCTCTGCATATAAGGATATAATCAAAGACCTCAACATTTCTGCCATTCTCACTATAAACCACAAACATGCCCAAAGCACTTTGATCTCTGAATATCACAGCTTTTGAAGTCATCAATGCCTCACATTTAACTATGGGAAATGATTTGCTTTTGGTGCTTCAGCTGTGATATATGCACACAGTTTTAGTCATTTGCACAGCAGAGCACAAATCCCTTCGCTAACTTATAGAAGCCATTAAAGATGTCAATATGTTAGTAAGACGCGAGTATAAAACTAATACGCTGCAATAAACACACACTGTTAAACTGATCGCAGGGAGGGCTATCAACGCATGAATACTGCATCAAAACAAATACGACTGTCAGGGAGCAATTACCCAGATAATGTGTGATGATAAGGACAGCGCTGATCATTTACACAGCTGACATTTGGAATAATAAGCTAAGCATGAAGGACCCGTGTCTATTAACCTTTGAGGAGAGAGTACAATGTGCCCAGTGAGGAAAAGACAGAAAGCCAAGGAGCTATCGACGCGCAGGCAACATCGTGCCGGAAGGTTCTGCTTCTTCTGAGAAGCTTTCAAAAATATTATCGACTGATTCAGGAGAAAAATCACATCTTACAATTTGTACCCGGGTCTGATCTCAGAGAGCAGCAGCCATTTCGATCATTGATATTATCAACATTTAATACGTCTGATGCAAATTAGGGAGCCAAGGGGGGAAGTGAAAAACAGTGCTGTGAAAAAAAAAAGAAAAGTGTGAGTGGGGCTGGATGGTCTTTAGCCAAACTAGTTTAAATAGCTTGGGGCTGGTAGCAAACTCAAATGTTTTTACTAAATATCTGCCTTAATCGTCAATGGGACGCTTAAAAACTCAACATAAAACTGTAGTTACTATATGTCAAGGCAAATTTTTAGTTACTTAAGGCTGAGATAGAGCGAGAGAGAGCAAAACTTTGAAAAATGACAGGAAGGCTGAATGAATAACAGCCATGCTCTGCTTTGAAATTTTTGGAAATTGCAGAGTGAATGGTAAGGATTTATTTTATCTTGGAATACACACAAAACAGGTGGTGTGTGCAAGATAGATGTAATGGTACTTGCTAATATGAGATGCTAAAGACAGCTCAAAATGTCGCCTTATCGTTGCATCTTTAGAAGTTCTACAGAAATGTTTCTCACAAAATCTGCAGTTTTTTCCAAAACTATTTCACAAATTTTAAGTCTTATTGTTCTTGTAAATCCTGCACTTTCTTGTCTTGAGCGTTACATGTCTCATTACAACGCTACCAGTCAGTGCCTGGTTTCTTCAAGCTTTATTAAACATTACTTAAGCCATTTAATACCATTTTGAGATCATTAAGATTTAATGATTAACAAGAGTTATGAAAAATAATCAGATTTTCTCTTATTTTTAACTTTTATTAGATATTATGGAGTTAAATGTAGACTTAACATTATAAATTGGACTGTTTTGCCTCTGGTTTGTGACTTGAGTGTTGTTTTACCTCGCTATGTTACCAAACCAACCCTACACTTTATATAAAGTACACAGCAAATAACAGATATCACAGAAATCATGAAACAAATGTGTTACAAATCTACACAATGTGTTTCATTTATTAAATTAACTTACTGAAATAAATAAACTTTCCAATTAAATTCTAATTGATTTAATGGGCTTGTATTTTTGTAATTTTTAAGATCTTTGAGACAAGTGTTTTAAACTAAATGCGTGTCTCTCTGCAGATAATTTTTTTTTGTCAACTTTGGACTGAAACAACAGACTTAGGCTCTCAGATCATTAGTTTGCCCTCCAACCAAGAGTTCTGGCTCATGCAGACACAGAGAGAAGAAGAAGAGCCGAGGCGGTTAAACAGACAGGAGGATCTTGACATCTACGTTTAGAAATAAAACAAATAGACCCAGCTGAAGGAGTGCAGCTGAGCTCAGAGCCTCCAAGGTGATCTGGAGACTCTGAAACAGGTCCAAACAGTCTAATGGTGTTCACTTAGGTCAAGTGTACACGCTGCTGCTTCCAGTATTTTAGACAAACTGCAAGCATTATTCTGGTTGTGGCAGTTTTACAGAGAGGTTCAACAATAACTAACCATGAAGAGGATCTTTAGTACCAGCTTAGGTCAGCTAAAGAGAGAGAAATGAACGTCCATGCTGTTAGTTCACAGCGTGACCTCCACAAGGAGACCGTACACTCAAACAAATACCATTTCCTGTCATCCCATGTAAATGTCTCAGGAGACAATGACATACAGAAAGCCTATTTGCTATGAAAAATCACGACTGGAAAAAAACTTCCTAATAACAGGAGCAATATTGTGTTGGACAGCCCATAAATTACAGATTCAAGTAGACGTTACTTTGCTAAAGGCCAAGCGAGTGCTTCAGAGAACGAGTACAGGGGGAGTGATTAAAGCTCTCACTTGTCTTGTTTTTCATGTTATGAAGTAAAACCCAGCCAGCAGCAGAACTTACATTACGCTATTTCAAAGGTTACAGAGAGCTGAGCTTTAACTGTTTGGAAGGGCATCTCCAAGCATTTATCCAGACTTAATGCAGGAAACGTCTGCATCAAGACGGGAGTTGACGATAATCTGAAGTACTGGTCAACTGAAACTGGTTTAGTGACCATCTGTCTAGGGAAGCTTAGACATGGATCACTTTAGATCCAAGGAGATGCTAAGTGCTTGCCTTGCCTAAGTGTAGAATACAGTCATGCAAATTAGGGGGCATCAAGCCAACCAATGAGGACTACTGCTGAGTACGCCCATGGGTATGGGTGTGGCATATACTGAAGTGAAAAAGTGTCTGCCAGCTGGTCTGCACCGCTGTATGAAAGGTGTGTGCGAATATGAATATGCCGAAACCACGTGACTGTGTGTCGACTCTTCGGCTTTGGAAGAAGTGTGTTGGGGACTGACTAAATTAGGTCAGGATGTCTGAAAATATGGTTGGAAGAGACCACAGTTAAGCTAGTTGGACCTGTCCAGAGAGGAATTACTGGAAATCTTGGACAAATAAGAGTTAAATGAGGAGCTGTCAAGGAATAGGAAAAGAAGAAGAACACAGAGAAGTCATGTGGATGTAGGGAGAGAGGAGAATGACAGGAGCAGGAAGATATTGGCAGCAGATGGTTTGCTGTGACGACCCTCAAGAAAACAGGCAACAGAAACGGTAGAAAGGATGCAAAGCAGAAAATATGGTCATGGAACTTTTGTAGCAGGTTGAGGGTATATCAGTGATAGAAACAAAATTTGATTTATTTGCCAAACCAATTGACTGCTTCATCCTTCGATCAATCCAGGAACACTTCTACAAACAGACACCCTCCAGGTCATTCTGAGCCAAACCAGATGATATATGGAGATCCTCCAGCAGGTCCAGGGTTTCCTCCCAAGAGGACATGTCTAGAAAAGCTCATAGGGAAGATGCCAAGAATACTTCCTGGAAGCACCTTATCAGACTCCATTAGATGCCAAGGAACAGTTCTACTCCTGTTTCCTTCTCAACCCAGAAGAATCTCATTTCAGCTGCTTGTAAGCAGGATCTCCTGGATTTGATCATGTTCTGGATGAGGGTTGAAACGTAGACGTAAAAGCTTTGTGTTTGTTGCCTCAGACCTTTACCGCTACGAACCAGAGTCATGTCAACTACTATCAACAGAGTGAAGCTGTCTGAAAATGTAAATGTGGATATTATTCTGACATCAGTTGTAACACTAAACTACAACACTTCTTTGGTCCTTGTTTGGATTTTTTGCTTTGTTTTCAGAAAAGCTTGATCAAGTTGTGGAAGTCGATTTTCATCCAGAGGGAAAAAAAAAAAAATGCATCAAGCTGGCAATGCATAGTGTGTGATATGCCAGAGCGCGGTTGGCAGGGTGCTAGGAAGGTAATTGAAACATATGGACTTAATGAAGATTTATGGAAGTAAAACAGATTTTGTGAAGCAGATGGTTTTCATACGTTTTCCCCTAAGATGTTGGTTTGGGAGAGAATAGAAAAATAAAATAAATGTCCCTCTGATAAAACTATCCCCCGTTTCTATTTTGTTCAGGAGTTTTTTTGAATAGCAATTTAGGGGGTCTAAGAGATATGACACATATGCTTATCCAGTTAGATTACAAAAAATTTTTAAATCAAACTACAATTTAGCATTAAAAGCAGCATGCCATTAGTAGCCCAAATGGGGAAAGTATTAGAATCCAAACAACCAAATGGTCATGTTTTATTGATTGGATAGATACAATCGGATGTTTGGAGACTTTTCTATTAGCAGATGCATTATCTACTCATAAAATTACTGGAACTGTTATCTAACATTTAACAGATAAAATATAACAAAAATAATTTTGGTCTCTGGAACAACTAAAGAAGAAAAGTGGAGCGTTTCCTAACTTTTTCTTAGTTGCTCAATAAAACAGCTCTGATTTATACCCAGAGGTACAGCCTTGACACCTGTGGAGTGGAGGAAAGCTTCATTGTGGTCAGAGAGAACTCTGGAGGCTACAACATTTGCATCAACTGTTTTAAGTTTGAGCAAAAAACAACAAAAGCTCTGGTACAGATATATAAAACTATTCTTAATTCACAATTGATTCCATGCATGATATGTTTACCTATTAAAAATTAATCGGAAGCTGACTTAAACTTGCATCGCTGAACAGTAAAATGCCTCTTTAGAGTCTGAAAGAAGCAGAAAACTTTGGACATTTGCTTTTCCATCTGTCAGTTCACGCAGGTTCTCTGCTGGCCAGAGGGCATTTTGGGTAAACCACACAGATGTGCAAAATGGCTGTACAAAATGTTGTCAACAAGCATTCTGTAGCTGTGACATTGGCAAAACCCATATGATCTTATGAAGGCACTGAGGTTTGTAACTCTCAGTCTTTTTTTCCAGGACCACCACTGTTAGAACACTACAATCCTGTCTGATCAGTAACCTCTGCAAGGATATTATGCTCCAACAGATGTCCAGCTTGCTGTTGATCTGGCAGCCCTGGGCGTGCTGTTGCTCCTCCTCCAGCTGTTTGGGGCTGCTGAAGTGGGCCGCCTCCTGGTCCAGCTGGGGCAGACTCTCAAAGTCAAACTTGTCGACCTGGATGGCCATCCTGTAAGAGTGGGTTTGAGAAAAAACTCACTGATTTAACTGCCAACTAGCTGATGAACATTTGGTCTTGATTACATATTAAAATAACACAGTTCTGCTATTTTCACCTTTGACAACATTGTAATGCTAAAGGTTAATTATTTAGGGTAATGTCAAGTAATAACCTGAAGAGAATACATCAAAAATCTTCCTCTACTTGTTCTTCCTGTGGCATGAAACTGAAACTTTTAGCTACAACAAAATAAAGCAAAAATCATTGTTTAAAGCCACCAGTCAAGTGGTGTCAGCATCAAAAGTGGTAAAACTTCCGTTAGTTAATTTAAATGAGCTATTTATATAATAACATATAATAAATTATATATATAATACTACTAATAATAATATAATAATACCCTGACCACCTTAGATTGACAACTTTTTGTTTTGTGCACAGTATACAAGTGACCCCAAGTAGTGAAGGAATTATTAGCTAAATTAGCCATAACATGGCTTACAACCTCTACATGTTGGAGCCACTTTAAGCATTCAGCATACTGATGTGAGTGAATCTTGATCAGAGCAGACAGACTACCTGTTCAGTGTAGCATGAGATTAAGTATTGTATTAACGGGTCGTTGCTGCAGCATTAGCATAGCCGTTGTCATGGGACATCCCTATGCTGGATCTCCAATTTGGGAATTATATCAAGGAATGTTTTGATGATGACCAAAAAAAAATGCCACGACATTGGCAGCAATGGAAGGCAACGTTGTGGTGTTGATCGCTTAAAGCACCATATCTGCATACGCCATCAAAATGGAAAGCAAATGGACAAAGATAAGAGTGGGTAATGAATTTACTAATGATGTATAGAATTTAAAAGAGAATTCTGGGGAATATGAGTCTCTAGAGCCATGCCAATCACTGTTGGCGCAGTGATTACCTGCATGGCCCTTTATTGACCTGAACAAAAGGAATCCCAATCAACATTGCCAACGCTAGGCTCTCAATCCAACACAGCTAATAAACTGATTCAAACGTTGGATGACTTGTGTCTCAATAAACCAGACAAAATACTGACCAACATATTTTAGTGAAAATGTTGCTGCATTGTCATTTACTCTCTCTGCTGACTTCAGCTGGTTACATAACTGAGCACAACATTTCACAAATCCCACTGGTTCCTCAACACACAACTGGAGCAACTTTACCTCAGTGTTTTCAAGGCAAATAAAACACACGCACGCACGCACGCGCGCGCACACACACACACACACACACACACACACACACAAAGTGTGTTTACTGCAGTCCAAAATAATGCAGAATATACACCAGTTTGCATCAATATAAATATCGATTGGATTAAAATTACAGTCTGTAGTCAACCCAAACGTGATTTTGAAAACCAATGAAAAAACAGGAATCGCAAAAAGTAAATGAAAACAACTGGAGTTATACAATCCACTAATGGAGTGTATGAAGAAAAATTATATGAAAGGCATATTTAGTTCTGCAGGTTTTCTAACTGGAAAGCAGCACTGTTACTGTCCATTCTTCCCCGTTTGATGACAACCAGTTCCAGCTGCCTCATGTGCCGAGACGAGTCATAAATTATTCATCTACTCTGAACAAACAGCTCCAGGTTGGAGTCTGCTTCTAAACTGCTGGTGTTGCTAAGTTATATATTAACAGAAGTACTGTTCTCTGCTTGTTATTTGCCTGAGGTTACATCAACTCTTACTACACTGTGGTTTCACCTGAGTTATGCGCATCAGAATGACCCAAAGGATCACGTCTTATTGCTCCACAGCATGCAGGGCCTTCATTCAAGGATGTTGTTATTAATTGGACGTACTGGTTTGGGGATTAACTTGGCAAGCAATATGATCAACTGAGATAATTAGACTGCTTACGAAGATCCTTGTCTGGAAGGTCATCAAATGGTTATTTTATGTACAGCATGACATTGGGTGTCCTAAAAGGCACTTATGAATAAAATCTGTTATCATTATCACTCAGTCAGTAGTAAGAAGATTATAGGGTTGTTGCACATTTTCATGTCGAAATTCTGTACAGTTCCATGGTCTAATTTCCAGAGTTCTGGGAAAAAATTGACAAATTAAAACAAAGAAAGGAGAGAGAAAAACAAGCAAAAGAAGGATAGAAGACAGAGAAAGAAGTGAAGGAAAAAAGGAAGGAAGGAATGAACAGTGGGGGGGGAGGGAGGGATGGATGGATGGATGGATGGAGGGAGGGATGGATGGATGGATGGATGGATGGATGGATGGATGGATGGATGGATGGATGGATGGATGGATGGATGACAGGTTATTATACTCATCCTGTCTAATGGATTGGATGACTGGATTTTGGCAATCAAATAGGATAGAATAGAATAGAATAGAAATGTCCTTTATTGTCCCACAGTGGGGAAATTCAGGGCGTTTTGTATCACTGTGACTCTTGCCACTCAGCCGAACCCCCACAGAACTGACTCTAACCTCAGCAGGGCAGCGTGTGAAACACCAAGTTCTTCTTCTGCCTCCCAATTCCCCAGATATCCAGCTGCTGAGAGCTTATTGAAAGCAAAACCAATCTATAGGGATTACAACCCGCAGCCTCACAACATAAAGCCACCGTCAGAATCTCTTATTTTGCCACATGCAGTCAGGTGGAAAGATTGGACACTCTGCCTCAGCCTGTGTTTTTCTAGTATATTTGGACACAAATATAGCCAATATCAGTTTTTACAGTACAGAAAAAATGGAGTAATATGCATAAGTAACAGAAACTGAGGAATTTCTATAAAATATTTAAAAAAATTATGCAACTTCTAAGGAGGAGTAAATTAGGACACGCCCACATTTATTCTGGAATGGCTGAAATTACATTTCACATCAGGTGAACGGTAGATCATTACATCTGCCATGTTTAAACCAGATGTTTGGTTTAGTGTGCTGCTGACTACTGAACCGAGAGTGAAGTGATGCTTCTCGTTTTGCAGACTGATGTCAGACTGGTTGAAGGCAACAAACAGCAGATTGAAGTTATGACAGCCAATAGGAGAGCCAGAATACCTGTTATTGCTGATAACATGATTATCTGGAAGTGAAACAGTAACTTCCGGTGTTTTGAAACTGAAAAATTATTTTGAAACTGACAAAAAGTCCAAAGCTTCTTTCCAGATTCAATTTTTTTTTTTTCAATTTAAAATCTTTTTTTTTTCAGTTTGTTTTTCTTTTTTGTTCAGATTCAATTTTTTTTTCCTCTTAAAAATTTTTTATGGACACTATTTAGCTACACAGATTGCCTTCATTTCCACTTTTACACGATTAAAAGAACATAACACTGTATATTTTCTTTAAAATACTTAATGCAGTGTCTTAGCTGTCCTAGCTACATGACAGAAACTACTTAGCCAGTATATTCTGTGTTTTAATCTGTCAGACAAGTACAAATGGACAGAATCACCCAACATGGAGCTCAGGATGTTCCTTACAGATGTCATGATGACTGATGGGGCCAAAGCTCAAACAACAAGAGGAACCACAGAAACTGTGATTTTTCTTTAAATAAAAAGAAAGAAAGAGTACAGAGTAAAGGCTACTCTGTATCCTCCATTAAGCTATAGATGACCTGGCCAGGCATCTCCACAAAAAGCCAACTGGAATAAAGGATTCCCAAAAATGGAATGTTTGGCTGAAGCCAGAGATCCTAAATCACAGCTTTGCAGTGAGGAACTCCCTGAGGACTGATTTGATACACTGGGTTGTTTTTGGTGCGTCTTCATGACACTACATAATCATAAACAACAAATACAACTGTGTTGGCGTTCAAAATAGTGTACTTATTTAGTTAGGCTCAATGGTTAACAACTCTGGTCAAATTGTTGTTTTTAAGCAATAAATCTGACACTGTCAAGTAAGCCTGTGGCAAACAGCAATTAATTATCTGTCCCCATGATAAATTAAAATGAATTTGATAATTACATTCCGATGATTGATAGTCTTTGAAGGACAAAATTGTTTACAGAGACTTCATAATCCATTTGGTTTATGATTTATTCTTTTTGTTATTCTTTTATTATTGCTTTTGTTGTGTTTTATTTTGGATATTTAAAATGTCTTCCACTCCCTGTGTATTCTTTACAAGATTAAATTATTGGTTTTTGTGAGGACAAATTTCTACAATTAGGGTATTATCAAAATACTACTATATCAAAATGACAATATTATTGTTTATTATTCTTTATTGCAATTATTTTTTTATCCAGGAAATTTTTTATCGAGACAGGAGGCCTAGGTGTTCTGTCATTATTAAGCAATTATTATTTTACTCAAAAATGGTCTCAGAAATGACAATATCATTCTTCACAATAATTTCTGGGACAATTTGTTATCGTGATACATTCTTTTCATGATACCTTCTTCAGCAAAGGCATCACACCGCTTGATCCCACCTGTCGCATTTACGCTTCTGCAAATCTTAAATGAAATTACACGAGAAGGAAAAGGAGGGAAAAAAAATCTCTGGATAAATCCAGACACGCGTACATCAAAGTGACGAGGAGGAGGAAAGGCAACGCAATTAGCATTTCACAGCCTTTACAACAAAGCCACAGCACAAATTAAATAACAATTAAGACTTCAAAACATGCAGCAGACAAAAAAAAAAAAGGGAAAGCTTCTGCTTCTTGCTTTCCCCTCTACTTAATACATCCGCCTTTGAAGATTAGTGGCACAAGGCTTATGTCACTGACTGAAGTCCTGTCTTCAAATGGGTGCTGCGTTTCATTCAGTCATCTTCAAAAGCCCGCATTACACACTGGGCCTAAAAATACCATGTTGCAACAATGCAAATCAGCCTGTGGATGCAGCGTGGCGAGCCGTAAAGCCGCTCGTCTTCACAGAAGTGATTACTAAAAGGCAGACGATCGTGTTGAAATTTACACTTTAAATGACAGGAGTGGGGAAGGCAGGACCAACAATACAGAGTGACTGTGCTAATATGTGAAACTTT